GTGTGTGTGTGTGTGTGTGTGTGTGTGTGTGTGTGTGTGTGTGTGTGGTGAGGAACTCTTCAACGTCATTTTGTGTGTGTGTTCATGCGAATTTCGGTCAAAGTTGAGTGTGTGCATGTGGAATATGTCGTTGCTCATTGGTACGGTGGTGAATGGTGAATTTTGTGTGCAGTCTGTCAATTGACACTGAGAGCCCCCCGAGCTGAGTAGCGCCTCAGGAGAGAGAGAGAGAGAGAGAGAGAGAGAGAGAGAGAGAGAGAGAGAGAGAGAGAGACAGGATTAAGGAAAGAGAGTGGGTAAGGGAGGGTGAGAAAGAGAGGAAGAGTGGTGGAAACAAAGTTAAAAGAAACAAAGATCAAAGAAGTGGAATCCTAGATGCAGTGGAAACACACAAAAAAGGCAAAAATATGCTAGAGAGTGAGACAGACAGATTTCTTGTGGTGCAGACTACAGTGTAAACGTATTTTCTCCATCTGGCTTGCAACCGTGATCAGACTCTAAATCTGTTTCCTGCCACATTTGTCAAGCAGATAACTACGACATGTGCAACGCCAGCATGTACAACACTACTGCGGATAATCACTGTACAGAATATATGAATAAAAGTGCTGCTTTTAAATCTGCCAACAACGTCTGACTCCGTCGAGGACTCTGTTTATTCTAAAACACACAGACATTACGCGTCGGCAGCATGAAGTATTTGTATCTTCAGGGAAATTGTTGATAATAATAAAAAAGATAAAACAACGGCAGCCCTCCCTGGAGGGTTTACCATATAGAGAGCTAGTTAGTGTGAAGTGGAACTATATTTCGGGTGCTCAAAACTCTATATTCGAAGGATTTGATTCCTGATTGTTCAACAGTGTTGTTTTAAAGCTCAAATCACAATCAGTTTTTCAGACACCAGGTCAAGAAAGATGTGTGTGTGTGTTTGTGTGTGTGTGTGTGTGTGTGTGTGTTTTATACACTGATTTAGAGGAAATTACAAAACAGTTGTGTTAGTAATAATATATTATAATTATTATTAATATATAGTTAATAATATATATTAAAAAAAAGAAGGAAAACATCACTTCGTTGCAAAATTCACATACTTTCACCAATAAAAAAATGAATTAGATTCCTTTAATGGCACATGCTCATCATTTTATGAGGATATTATACTTTGACACAGAAAAAACACATCATATAAACAAACAGCTGAGTAAGTAATATCTGTCAGTATCTATATATTGGTCCTTGGTTTTGTTTTATAAACTTCCCAGCTTTCAGTAACAGCTTATTTTCATACACGTATCCAAATGTTCGTCCCCGTTTAGCACACAATGCCCTTGTGTGCAAAAGCCAGCTCCATGAAGGAATGGAATAACTTGACTGGTCAGAGCTCTGACCTCCACCCCATTCAACACCTTTGGGATGAACCTGAACAGCGGCTGTGAACCAGACCTGCTCACCAAACCTCAGTGTTGGACTTCACTGATGCTCTAGAGAGGCTGAAGGTTCAATATCTATAGTGGAAAGACGGAAACCACAAACAAGCCTCAACGGTTTTATCCAACAAGAAGTAAATACATTAAAGCCAGCTGAGTGATTCATGTCTTTAACTGAGTATCTTCGAGAAAGTAGAGAAAGTCAATGGACCATTACCAAATCATTTATAGCCTCAGTCCAGCTTTCACCCTCACTGTAGGAAAGCAGACAGAGGACGTGAAATGATCTCTGCTGAGGCAGACAAAGTTTTACTTTTGGGAAACCTCATCCTATGAGCTGAGAGCTGCACTTCTATTTAACTGAATCTTGACTTCTGAATCCCTCTAAAGTCCTCTGAGACCTGCGGCCGACATCACTGTATCAGAGCAGGCTCAGTTTTGAAGCTAGCGTTAATATATTGGTATGACTTTATCTCCCCTTTACAGATATGCAAACTTTATGGACTAATCCCATGATGTTTTGGTCATAATGTGTGTTATGTTCGTCTAACATGGTGTATTTGAATATTTCTAAACTTAACAGTTTTGGAATTGCATGAATTGTGTATAACTAGAAAGCTCCTTTTGGGGACAAAAGTGTCTGGATTATGTTTGATCTCTGTTAAAATCTCTGTTAAAATAGCCGGTATACAGTATGGCACCTTACTAACTTTTGAATGGTTATTGTATATAAAATGTAATTTAGGGGACTGGGTTGCTTGAGGAGTCAGTTGACCGTGTGAGTTTACCAGGCAAAAGCTATAGATTTGCATCATGGGTAATGTCTGAGTTTTTGGTGCTTGATCCACAATAGGGCCTCTATTGCTTCAATTCTTTATCATGTGTTTTCATAAACGCTTTCTTGCAAGTACTCCACATCTATGGAAGTGCGACAATAAACTCTTTCAACGTTTTCTCTTCTTTCTGTCCTTATTTCTGAAGCGGTTTTGGGAGAGTTGTTCCTCGTCTTCTTCAGAGATCTTTGGGGTCTGGTTGGCAAATGCTGCTGTAAACACTTGTCAAGTCAAACGAGAGTGTGAATGTGATTCTGAGCTGCATAAATAAATTACACCTACAGAGGAATGTGAAAAAAACACGAGGATTATAAAGTCTTTAGCAGGTAATTAGTTGTGTGTGTGTGTGTGTGTGTGTGTGTGTGTGTGTGTGTGTGCGTGTGTGTGTGTGACTTGGGGTCTGCGGACAGTCAATCAGCATGTACCTCCCATCTGGTAGATATTGTACAGGCATTTCCCATCATTCACTCTTTCACGAACACACACATTTTCCTGCATATGTGTGTGCGTGTGTGTGTGTGATAAAAGGAGGAGGTGCCCGGGCCTCCTCCTTTTACTACAGCTACACACACCCTTTCTCTCTCTCTCTTACTCTCTCCCTCTCTTTCTCAGTGCTCAGGGCAGCAGTGGATGGACGCTCAGCTGCACAGAAAGCACCTTCTCTTCTATACTTTGTGGGGATTTTTGCTTTACTGAATCAAGATGAACACCAGCGCCTTCACCACTTACGTGCAGTCCAAGATGGAGGCTGCGAAGGAGATCAAGGACGAGGAGAAGTTGTACAGATACAACGGGGTGTTGTACCCCTGCCTCATGTGCCCAGAGGAGAACTTAAAGGCTCTGGAAGACATCGAGGCCAGAGAGGACGACATCATGCTGGTGGCTTATCCCAAATGTGGTGAGTTTTTTCTCAAAGCTGTTCAGTTGGAGAGTAACAACCATCAGATGGTATTACATTTTTTTTTAAATAAATGATTAATAAAGTTTTAAAGGGGTTACCGAAAAATTTGATCCATCTGTTTCGACCGCTGACCTTTGATCTCCGTTCTGATGGTTGTTTAATGTTAATGATTGTAACTTTATTGATCTATTGAACTATTGATCTTTTACTTTCGTAAATGTAGTGATACCACAGTGCAGAAATACTTTGTTTCAAGTCCTGCATTTTTAAATCTTATTTAAGTAAACGTACAAAAGTAAAAGCATCAACGTATACTTAAAGTAAGTAATACTTTAAAGTAAAGTACTAATTGTGCAGAATGGCTCATTTCAGAATAATACACATTATGATATTGGATTATTATTGTTATTGTTGCATTAATATGTTCATCACTTTATTGTTGCAGCTGGTAAAGATGAAGCTCATTTTAATTTAACAACATCATAATTTATTTGTTAATTATATTTTGTAATAATATAAATTGTCCTAAAGTTATATTAAAAATGTAATGGATTAGAAGTATAAAGTACCAGAAATTGGAAATACTCAAGTAAAGTACAAGTACTTCAAAATTGTAGTTAAGTGCAGTATTTGAGTGAACTATTTTACACCGCTGACTGTTAGTCACGACAGATTTCATCCACAAATGCATAAAACTTCAGTACGAAAGCAGAATTAAAGGTACAGTTCACCCCAAAATACAAAATACATATATTTCCTCTTACTTGTAGTGCTATTTATCCATCTAGATGATTTAGTTGTGAGTTGCCCAGTTCTGGAGATATCAGCCATGAACTATGAACTAGTTCCTACATGAAACTACCCACAACGAGGTCTGTGGATTACCTCGAGTAACCGGGTCATGATTACAGGAAAGAGACGTCGCTGTTGAGTTTTTTCAAATGTATGTTTTTTGGCACTTTGAGACCATAAAGTCCCATTTTATTGAAGAGAAGGCAGACATCTGTGCTGCCATATATGTTAAATTACTTAACAAGCGTATCATAACGTTTAGTTTTGGCTTCTCACGGGACACTTTCATAAAAGTAAGTGTCTAAAAGTCATAACAAGTTTCAAGTCTGTCAGGTTGTGGCACGGACGGAGTTTTGGTGAGTGATTTGACCAAAGGTCAGCAGGATTGTCTGTGGTCACGAGATAAAACGGAGGGGTTTGCCAGATGACTGAGAATAGACTTTCCTCTCATCTGTGATGTTTTTTTGTAAACCACCTTACAGTGGTGGAAGAAGTATTCAGATTCTTTCAGAAGTAGATGCAACAGTGTAAAACACTAAATATATAATGAAAGCCAAAGGAACCACACCTTTTGTGAAACCGTTTGAATGTTATCGGCCGGTTGAACGGGCGTTTGCAGCAGTCATCCCTGCAGGTCATCCCTGCCAGCGTTATGTTTCGAACAGGCCAAACTGCACCTAATACCTGAGGTAATTGTGAATTGACGCAAAATAACTTCAGGTTTAGACAACAAAACTAGTTAGTTAGGTTTAGGAAAAGATCTTGGTTTGGTTTAAAATAAGTATGCTTGTTACGTAATAAACGTAACTTGGCATCAGATGAGTTCACTTCCTGTCACAGACCTGAATCTTTACTACAGGTTTTCTGTAAAATCACTGCACCCGGCCACAAAGTATAGTCCGGCACACGGGGAATTTATGTTTTTACATTTTGGTTTTTGCACAAATAAAAAACAACATATAACATGTTCAATTTACAGGTTTATTAATTTAAGATGAAAATTCAACCATTGAATTTACTGACATCACTTTGCAGGAATTCTGGGTACTGTAGTGCATTAATGTGCACTAATACCTGAGTGAATGTGGTGATGATTTATTGATATTAAAAAGCACCACATAATCTCTTTCTCTTAAAAACACAAAAAGCTCACAGTGCGGTTTTCAGAGGAAGAAAAGCGTGACATTCCTGCTGTCACCGCGGTGCGTTCAAGGAATGTGACATGTTTTTCTTTTTGTTTTTTGTGTTGATTTTTGAGAGGCTTTTTGGACACCAGCTTGCTGGTCCTGCAACGACACGAAGACAGACTTGTTAATCGCCATCGGAGGAATGTTAGATTAGACACACCCGTCCCACATCTCCATGTGTAGGGGCCTGGTTGACTTGGGGCCCGCATGGGGGATAGTAGAGCTTATCTATGGGTGTGTGACAGCCCCATCAGCCCAGCCAATCGGGGCCTCTTTTTAAACGGCTAAATGGCCCCTTTTGATGTTGCAGTGCTACACAGCAGCCTGCCACAGATAATGGCTTCCTGACGTCTCAGTGATATATGGAGGAAGATTGAGGAGGATTAACCTGACCTCCAGATTTACGGCCTGTGGCTGTTTATAGGCCTGTAACATTTGTTTCACTGATGTTTCTACTTTGTTTCTCTGTGGGTGTCGCACTACATGGCATTACAGCTGGTTTTCTCATCCCCGTCTGTCTCCTAAAAATAATAAATTATAATTCACTCCAGGAAGTAGTCAGGTGTCATTTGCAAGGGCGCTCAAATTGAATTACTAAGACATTATAAATCTCTATTTTAAGCCTTTTTTAGCTTTACCCATTTTTAAAGTGAATCTACCAAAATTACTTTTTTATTTTTTATTCATGTTAATATTCAACTCTTTGAGCACCATAAACCAAATTCCATTAATTTGCAATTTATTGGAGCATGAAGGCAGGAATCTCAAAATATTGATATCTCAAAATTTGGACGAAGAAAAACTAAAATGAAGGTTGAGGAATTTTTGCTCTAAAAGTATTTTGCTTTGCGTGTCTGTCAGATTGATGAAACATTTTCAACAGTGTGTATAGGCTTACTGGCACTGCACAGGTAAAACTGGAGAAATAATTAGTTTTTTGCACAGCGACATAAACATAAAGAAGTTTAAATGTGCCTAAAAAAAACCTGTACAGTAAAACTTCGTGGAGTGGTCCTCCTGCTACAAATGGTGCAAGGGAATGCTGCAATTCCCAGAGAAGGCTGGTAATAAGCCAGTCTTTAAATTACCCGTACTGGTGTTTCCCCTCCTGTTAACTGTGATCCATAGTCATTATGTAACAGCAGGATCTGTCAGAGGAAGCAATAAATGTGGAGACTAACACGCCGGCTCGCTGCCAAAGTGAAAGAAGAGAAGAAGAAGTGAAACAGATGAAAGAATTGACCTGCACTCCACTGAAGTAGCTGCAAAGTTAAATTGTTTTTAGGACGTGTGACGGGATCACATATTCAGCACATTTTGTACACTATTGTTACAATTTTTTTTTAACAATTGCTGAAACACGATTGTGAAACCACTACACACAATTCACACAATTACACACACAAGTGGCAAAACAACTCTAAAACAGTAACTCACCTGTGGCCTTTTTTATAATGCTTGCATCCTGATTGATGAGTTAACAATCAAGCAATAAGGTGTTTGGCCAGGTGGCACGTGTATCAGCCAATTGGTCCAACGGTGTTCCGCGTGCTGCAAAAAGTATCACGTTGAATTGCAAACTGGGTGCAAGGCAGAAAATGTGTTTAGAATTTTGGAGACTTGAGCTGAGGTTTTGGTCTCTGACTGTCAATCTAAAACATTGTGCTCTATGTGTGTGTGTGTAGGTTTTAACTGGATGGTGGGTGTGGTAAGGAAGATTATCACAGAGGCCACAGGGATGAAGATAGAATCAAGGATGCCGCCACTGATCGAGTTTTTTGGACCGGATGTCATAAAGGTACTTTTTTTTTTTCATGCCACTCTCACCGCTTTACTTACTTTAATAACTTTTACACATAAAACACAAGTATACAAATACAGCTGAAACCAACATTAGTTCATTAACAGAAAGTGGAAACCATTTTGATGGTTGAAGTCACTTTTCATATAGAAACATTTCATGCTGCTTTTCCTTGTTGGGATGTTAATAATTGTAATGTTGAGGTTTTGACTTTGACAAAAAAACATCTATATATCCAAATCAATAGTGTGTTGGTTGGATGTTGTAGTCCATTGTTCTTAACTCTTATTTCTCTTTTGGAAGAGACTCAAACAGAAACCTGTCACGGGAGTTCACGGTTAGGACCCAATAGCAAGACCACAAGAGACAGAAGTTGATATAACAGGTTTTATTTAGCCAGAATAAAGACAGGAAGGTGTGGAGCCCGTGGTCCGACACCGGAGGGCAGGCAGATCAACGGTGTGAGTCCCGTGGCTCGACACCAGAGGGTAGGCAGAGCGGCGGTGTGTAGTCCGTTAACACAACGGAGGGCACGGGGATTCCCGGACCGGCAGACACCGGCGGCAGGTGCTCGAGGCAGAAGATGATACCGGGTGAAAGACGGTACGAACTGACGACACAGGTCTGGAGGACCAGGGTTCAAATACTGCCCAGATCTCATTAGTAGGATCTGGGTCTGGTGTGTCAGCCCGCAGGAGGTGATTAGCTGAAGTGGCTGCAGCTGTGTGGCCATGGGAGGTATCTGGTCTGACAGGGATCCTGACAAAACCAAACCTCATTAAGTAAACTGGTGTTGAGGAAGTCCGTCTGTCGGTGCTGAAAAGTCAAACAGAGTGCAGCGTCTCTGTACTATTGTAGTAATGTGAGACAGATGTGTGATCAGAAAACACTAAGGAAATTAAACAGAAATGCAGACATGCTTTGTGTTTAGAACGATTCTTGGAAACCTCACCGCTGGGTGTGTTTCAACTGTTCAGGAACACATGGTGTGTGTGTGTGTGTGTGTGTGTGGGTGTGTGTGTGTGTAGGTGTGTTCATGTCTCATCAATCATGTGTCGAATTCTGAGAAACAACATGGCAGAGAGACATTAAATGATTCGTTTCAACCAACGGGAGAATATGTATATTCTCTTTCTTAGCGAGAGTTAGATGAGAAGGTTGATGCACTCTCATATTTGTTGCAATGCTTTTTTCTCTCAAGAATAAACACCATTATTCCTTGACTCAGTAGTTTTAGTTTCTCAGACTAAACCAAACATCAAAGTAATTTTTGGCACAGTCTTATTTGATGGAACTGACAAATGATAAGAACTCACATTCTAGTGGTAACATGTAATGGCTAATGCTGAATAGCAGCATATACTTGTATATTGTAAAAGGTAAAGTTGACTCCCCCTTTATCTTCGGTCCGGCTCTCCCCTCAGGCCCTGGGTGAGACTCCCTCCCCGAGGTTTCTGGGGACCCACATGCACCCCGACAACATCCCTGCCTCCTTCCATACAAAGAAAAGTAAAGTAAGTTTCAAAACATCTGCAGCAACATTTTCCAACTGATTCTCCTCTTGTCATCAACTGTGAAAGTACATCAAAGTATAAAACGTCCTTCACTGACTCAAATGGAAGACAAAGCTGGTGTGGCTTTTAAAATGAAAATGAAAAGTGAATTCTTCATCATGTTATCCTTGTAATAAAATATATATATATGTGGAATTCAAATCTATTTAGTTTCTGTTCTTTCCATATTTTTTTCTGTCCCTTTGTTTCTTAAATTATTTTGTAGAACACCAGTTCGATGCACCGACATGTTTTTTTTTAATTCATTGTGCGATGTGTTGTGCAGATGCTGGTGATCTTCAGGAACCCTAAAGACACTCTGGTGTCGTTCTATCACTTCTCCAACAACAACCCGGTCCTCCCATCCGTGGAGTCCTGGGAATCCTTCTACTCCCACTTCATGAGTGGAGACGGTGAGAAAAAAAAGCAAGATTGGTGACTTTTATATAGTTATTCTTTTAATTTACCTCGGAGCCATCGGGTCAGATTCCGCGCAAAATCAGATGAAATCGTGCAGACTCCAGCGGGGCCTTCAGACCTGCAGTCGGAGTTCAGGCAGGAGGTGGAGAGCAGACTCCATAATACACAGAAATACCACCTTTTGCTTTGCACGTATACTTTCACAGCCTGATTTTATGATACTGTAGTTCCGCTGTGTTTATGGGCAAATAAACACCGTGCAAAGCTGACTAAGCAGGGTCACTGTGGACGTGTTGGATTCAATGGAATCCAAGTAAGGCTAAAGAGCCTCTAATACTCAGTGAGTTCACGACATCAAGACACTCATAAAACTTCTCACGCCTTCATGGGGCAAAGGAGGGCAGTTTCTCAGTACATAAACTGACGTTTATGACGTTTTGAAATCCTTTCATGAAGTAAAAGTAATATAATTAACAAACTATTCAATTACAGCTAAAAGGTAAAATGCCTGCATTAAATAGTTTACTTAAATAAAATAAGTACCAGAGAATGCACCTTGGGATTTGTTACATATACAACAAACATTTGTTGTGCAGCTACTTTGTCAGATGAACAGCAGAAGAGCAACTAGCTCTAGAGCGCTAACTGTTTACAGTGCAGCCATACATTGTGTTTTCTCGGACTGCTGCACCCCTGACTAACCCTTTGAATGGAAGTTTGCCAGTTTCTGGCTGGCTTTTTACTTTTGACTGACAAAATCACCCTAAAAGAACTTACGACACTTCTGCCAGACATCAAATACATTTTTGGAACCCTATTTGATAAAATAACTTTTTGCCATGCATCTATTCTTTTTGGTGAGATGTGATCAGTGATGAAATTCAGAACCATAGTAGCAAATATATCCCTCTGCAAGTAAAAGTCTTGCCTTCAGTATAGTATTAGCTATAAAAATGTACGAAGTCGAAAAAGGAAAAGTACTTATTAAAAACAATGTGTAGTATTATTGGTTTATGGGGTCATGAAAGTCACATTCAACTGATCCAAACAACTAAATGTACTTTGATGGTGGTGTGTGTGTGTGTAGTTCCCTGGGGGTCATACTTTGATCACGCTCTGGCCTGGGAGAAGAGGATGGACGACCCCAACGTTATGATCGTCACCTATGAAGAGCTAAAACAGGTGGAGCACACAAGGACTTAGAGAGTGGTAGCTTTCAAAGAATGTATAAGAGTAATGATGTTATTGTTTTCACATGTTAATTTAATGTACATGAAAAACAATCACTGTATAAGTGTCTGTCTGTAACGGATCTGGTTCTGGTTCCTGTCCTGCAGGACCTGAGCGAGGGCGTCCGTCAGATCAACACCTTCTTTGGCTTCAGCCTGACGGAGGCTCAGGTGCAGCAGATTGCAGAGGGGAGCACCTTCAGCGCCATGAAGAAGAGCTCCACCAACTCCCACGGTACTCTGGGAAACGTCATCTTCAGAAAAGGTGCCTCACCACAACAAAATATTTTTTGGGATTGTGTTTTTACTGAAATGATTAGCCTACCTATTTTATCTATTGAAGGCATTTGTTTTAAAACTAAACTGCAAAGTGCATATTTACTGCACATACCTGCTACATAGTGCATAGATCTCCAGCTCTGCTCATATTGACCAACACATCCAGCTAAAAACTGTCACTTATTTAACAAATCTATCATTTTGTAAACATTTTCCATATAATTTAGAACATGAAGAGTTAATTTGCAAAAGAAAAAAAGCTATTCTTGAAATGAATAAACCCACACCAGTTTAAAGTATTCAGAAAGAAGAGCATGACTTTGGAAAATGAATATAAAAACAGAGATACAAATTATTCATTTTTATTTTGAAGCTTTGAGAAGAAATGTACGGGGGAATCCAGAGGGTTTTAAACGGCCTCATATTTGTGTACCTGAGCAGGTGAGGTCGGTGACTGGAAGAACCACTTCACTCCAGAACAGAGCCAAGAGATGGACGACGCCTTCAAGAAACACCTGGCAGGAACCAGGCTGGGAGCCAAACTCAACTACCAACGGCACTGTCAGTAGGAAGCGAGAGAAGAAGAAAAGAAGGGGAAAGAGGGAGGGAAAGTATGTAGAAGAAAAGCTTGGGGGACTTTTCTGCCCTGAGCTGAGACAGACCTCAGACAGACCTCCCTCTCGAGCACTGCACAGATGCTTCTTCACCTGGTCGCTAGAGGAGGTTCTTTGGAGGCAGTTCAGGGCCAAAAGTACCTTTATCACAGGCTCAGAGAAAGAAGGAATAAAATTAAGAAAGGGAGGGAGCAAAAAGAAACAAGTGTTTGTCTTATTAACTGCAACCTGTGAACTACAGAAAACATTATAAGAATAGTTTCACATTTTTGGAGATCAAGACCAAGAAATACAGATTAAACAAATGAGACATAAAAATGTAAACACATAGCAGTTGAATTATCTTTATACTGGCAGTTACCTGAACTCAGGTTTATGGAAACACTCACAGTCTTTATTCTGGTTGTGAAACTGTGGCTTTCAAACACTACTGTGATGAGATTATCGGGTATTATAAATGTGCACAATCACTGTTTCTGCTGTATGTTACATGCAGTGCATTCAACTGTACATGATCAAAGTAATGAAATGAAAATAAAACTCTTTTCCAGATCACTTATTTGTATGACTCCATCTCAATATCTTATGACTATGCCACATTATTAATTAACAAGGAAGTAACAATCACACCTACTTCATGTGTTTTATTCTGAAAGGGCCAACCGGATGTGGTGTTATTGATCCGTTGATAACTTAACATTGGTCCACTGTGTGGCTCGTGAATGAATGACATCATGCGGGCTTATGTCGGTCTCCATCTGCGACATGACACCTTCAGACACTAACGGTTAGACGTTTATTTAAAAATCTACCGTTGCACGTGCAACAGCGGCACATTAACGGGTTTTCCGTTTCAATGATTCTTGCGATTGTTTCCTGTTAGCCAGCAAGCTAACGTTAGCCTCTCAGAGCAAGCAGCCAGGTAGCTAATGCTAACTGCTAATGATGCTAAAGATGGTGTGATGGATTTATTAAATGGACGCTGAAGGTATAACTGTGCCCACAGTGTTGCATGCCGGGAGAATTATGTTGGAACTTGGAATTTGTCCAAACTGCCTTTAAGAAATCTAATGTATACATTTATTTTACCAGCTTAATGACTCTGAAAATGAAATAATCTTGGTTTTACCAAACATAAGGTTTAGTCCCACACGGTACCAGTCTCAGCTGAGGAGACATTGGTACGTCTGTCTCTTTGTAAGGCTTTTATTGTGCCTTTTTATGTAATTTTATTCTATTTAATGTTCTGTCTTATCTGGACCCTGAGTCTGAAATAAAGTTTTGATTAACCCTCAAGTATTTTCCCTTTTCGTTTGGGCCCTCTGCAGCCTACTCAGTGGTGAGATTGAAGAGGTTTAAAACTGATTTATCCAATTTCAATAGTGTTAACGTTGACCCTAGACTGACCCTCTATGTCTATGGTGACGTTAGAGGAATAGCTTAAATAAAGCAACACGCCTTGTTGATGCTGAGCTTCCAGTTTCCACTGAATAACAAAGTTAGTGTCGAAAGGTTTCTGTCAGCTGAGTGAATCCCTCCTAATTTCAGTGACACTTTATGTTTTTACTCTTTTTAATCAGCTCTTGTTTGATTTGTGCTCCTCTAACTTAAATATTGTTTTGGTGATGAACATGAATGGCATATTAACTAACGGTTATCACTGTAACTGTGTTGAAAGTGATACATCTTTGCTTGATGAATGACGAACACGATCATCACTATATTTGGCAATTATATTTCAGTTAATTTTAGATTTAACGTTTCAGAAAAATGTCAGTTCCCAGAGCTCAAGAACATAATGTTTAAATGACTTCTTTGTCAGGACAACAGAGACAAACTCAAAGGTATTCATTCACATTTTCCCTGAGTAATTAGTGTCTTCTCTGTACTCCAGGTGTGGAGTGATGCAGCAGAAGTTGTGTTCCAGAGGTTCTGGTTCCTTCCTCTTGGAGAGGAACGTCCAGCCCTGTGGCAGCACCGCCACCTCCTGCGACCTCCCCTTCCGCTGCCCCCGCTGTGGCGAACAGGAGCGCTTCCGCAGCCTGGCCTCACTCCGCGCCCACCTGGAGTACCGCCACTCGTACCACTCGCCGGACGTGACCGCCGGCGGCTTCAGCATCACCGGCAAACTCCCCGACCCGTTGACGGCGGCAATCCCCTGGCACGACATGAGCCTCCCGACCCGCAGGGGGCAGCAGAGCGCGTGGCGGCCGCCTCACGTCCGCTCCCTCAGTGACAGCAGAGACAGCGGGTACCCCCGCTCCTACAGCTCTGTGAGGAGACGCACCCAGAGTGTCGGGGTGGGGACGCAGGCTGAGGAGGAGGAGGACGACGATGATGATGACGATGACGACGACGAGGAATTTGGGACAGAAGATGAAGACGAGGATGACGACGATGAAAGTGAAGAGAGAGATGGAGGTAGAAACGAGGAGGATATCAAAATGTCCTTAAAAAAATCAGACACATGCCACCATCACCTCAACCACCATCGCCTCCCGTTCCCACTTTCAGCTCCTCATGGCCCCCCAACAGACCTGGACCTGGACCTGGTCGGTGCGTTCAGGTTTACTTTCTTACTATACTTTTTGGAGCAGTTATATTTATGTCAGAAATGTTCGGTGGCTGTTTCAGAGACACTGCAGTTCATCGTGATGAAGCAGGATTTCAAACTATGTGTTGAAATGTTAATGCATGCAATCAGAAGAAGTAGTTCCATCGATGTCAGTGTATTCCGCACATTGTGGATTATTACATATCCACAGAACGTCTCTGTGTGGAAGGCCAATGCCACTGACACCTCAAACGTAGTTCAGGAGGTGGTTCAGAGATCAGTAATCAGCCGCAGTAACTCGTCTCCTTCACTGTCGCCACCAGAGCAGAACTCCTACTCCGGTCTGGAGACGGCAGCGGCCTCGGCCGCAGTGCGCCGACGACTGGCCCGAATCCTGCGGGCGGCCGACAGCACCATGCAGCGCCGGCTGGCCAAGGTGAGCACGGAGCTCGCCCAGACCGACACGGAGCTCCTGTGTGAGCGCGCTCACTCGCAGCACCTGGCCCAGGAGAGGCAGGAAGTGGCCGACAGGGAGAGGTCACTGAGCCGGCAGGTGGACGTGGCCGTGATGGTGATCGCCGCGCTGAGGGAGCAGCTCAACGCCTCGGAGAACGAGCTGGAGCGTCGAGAGAGGTAAACGGAGAATTAGGAGATTACTTACTGCCATGTTTCAGTGGCCTTGTTTTCTCTTTTGCTCACTCGACCAGCCGGAGGTGAAAAGCACATTTACTCAAAGTGCTATACTTGTTATTTCTGTTTCCCAGGGAGGTGATAACCATCCAGAAGTTCCTGGAAGCAGCGGCTCGACAGGAGACGTGCGGGAAAGTTCGAATCCAGCGCTTCATCGAGAATCTGCTGAGACGCATCGCTCTGGCCGAGAGGCTGGTGGAGTATTACCAGGTCAACGGCAGCCCGCAGCAATGCAGCCACTACAAGGTACAACAAGGTGTACTGAAGTACTACACATAAGGATTCCCACGTTATGCTGCTTTACACTTAATATTTGAATGCTCATGAATACTTCTTCCGTTGCTGCAGAGCTCTTTAGTCATGAGCACGAACACTCATTGAATTAATCCTAAATTTAATAGCTAATTTCTGCTTGTGTTTCAGTACCAGCAGCCAACCGATAATGGACCTCACAGAATCACTAAAAGCAGGTTAGTACCTCCACGTTGGCTCGTATGATGTTGTACAACCTGTAACTGGAACATAAGTCACCTGCAATAAACTCATCTCATAATACTGAGCTGAGTTCAAACGTTTTATGGGACAAATTTAGAGTTTTAAATCTATTTTAGGGTCTCTAGGTGGTTTGTTTTATTCTTCTCTCACGTTTTTGAAGTGACCGGCTGAAAGACAAGAAAAAGGGAGTTTAGTCGTTACACTCGGCTGTAAAAAGGCTTATTGCTCAGCAGGATTCATCCTCTAACAGTGCAGAGAATTTGCTGTTGGTCTGAATCAAAGCCAAAAGGTGACAGAGCGGCTGCTAAATCCTTCATGAGGACTTCTTCTTCATCGCTGAACATGTGACACTTAACCTGTCGGTCTGTGCGCTGCTGAAAGTATGAAAGTGTGTCCGTCACCTGTGCATCATGAACACCTGCTTTTTCTTTTACTTAAATTTGATCCAAAAAGTGCTTGTTTTTTGTTGTTGTTGCTGGATTTAAATCCATAATCTCTGTTTTTTGTTATAGCTCCCATTAGCGCTCCCAAATGCAGAATTTCCTCCCATCTTGAAACTGATCGTTGGACTGTATTTATAGACGAGACAGAGCGGCGTAAACATGTTCATCATGTTTTCCTGCACTGTCTTCTGTAGAATTTATGCCTGAATTAGCTCTTCCCATCGCCCACTATTCATGTAACAGTAGTGGACGGAAACATGCATTCATTCACAAAAAAAGTATGTTTTATCTTTATGTAAGTGTTGATTTCTACAATAAATTATTAATAATAGTAATACAGACACCCATTCAGAGCTCTTTTGTAACTTTGTCTTGTTGACATTCCCCACTTCCTGTCTTCATTTGTTCTTTTGTGACGTTTCCAGGTCAGCGGGGGGTCAGCTGTCCTCGTCTGGCCTCCATGACAACAGAAGCCACTCCTCCTCGCAGTTCGGCGGCCGTCCTCTGTTCTCCAAGGCGGGCGGCGGGGAGCGAGACCGCGAGCGGGAGCACCGCGAGCGTCTGGCCCAGTCGTCCCGGCTGTTCTGCCGACCCGAACACAGAGACGACATCTGGAACCACCAGCGGCGCCGATCGGCCGGGTACGAGGCGTAGAACTGTAGAGGATCACCGGGGGAGAGGGGGCGGTCGGCGGGTAAAACCTCATTTCATTATTCCAGCGTGGTAACCTATGGAAAAGTACAGAACGGTCACATTCACATCCAGCTTCTCTGGAGCAGTTGTGTGTAACATCTGGCCAGATTTTTAGTTCAACAGAATGTGAAGAGGTTCCAGTTCAAAGAGGTTTGTGTGTAATGTTGCAGAGGATGAAACGAATAGAACTGATGACAGGTTATGTGACGTTGCACCTTTAAAACAATACACTGAATGTAATTAATTCTGGACTGATGCTCCTAATTAACTAGAAGGGTGCAGACGGGTCTTAATTCTTTATAAACCTTTTCTTGTTTCGGCTAAAATCTCTAACCTGGCGATAATCGTTTTAAAAATATTATTTTGACATTGAACTGTTTAAAAATAGACCTTTAGACTAAATGTAAGGGATTTTTCTGCATACATTGTACAGGATGTTGAAAAATGGGGAAACTTTATTAGCAATAGATATAAGGATTTAAAAAAAACAGAAAAAAAATAGTTTTAAGCATTTTTATTCCAAATGTTTATCGATGTGATTGACAACGATCAGAAAAAACATTTTTCATTTAATACTTTATTTAAGTATAATGTAAACATCATTTAGCATATATTACATTAAATGTACAATTGCTTCTCCTAAATGACAGTTTGTAAAGTAAAAGTATTTTTTTATAAATCATAGAAAATAAGAAATAGGATTACACTTACGAGAGAATACATAAAACATACACATCACAGTAACTATTACTGCGTAACAGGGTAATGCAATAACTATGATTACTGCATGACCACATTGACATCACATTGTATTCAAGTACATAGTACTATATTGTGAAGATATTGTATTCCCAGCACTGTGTTATTGAATATTTTTGTACTTTTCCATAGATTATGATGCTGAAACAGACGTTTGTGAAACGTTACACTGAGGGCTTTTTGAGTGTGGGAAGACTTTCAGTATTCAAACATATAATTAATAACAGTTTCTAGATTTTTTTTGTCTTATTTGTCCGCATAAATCACAGTATTTATTGCAGTATTAATCTCAGTCTTCAGTGACACCTACATTCTGAATCCTGTCCTCTGTATTTTAGAGACATGTCAGGTAAAAATATGCTTTTGTATTCATCTACTGAGTTTTTATTTACTGAATTTTGAAGACGGTGGAATGAGGAGGACCAGTTCTCGGTGTTGTTGCTGACGCGTCCTCACCTCTGGTTGAACCTTTACGTCCCACAACAAAAACAAACTGCCCTTCAGTCCAGTTATCTGATCTCTGTCTGTGCTTTTGAGGCCAAATGAAAGCGCTGAAGCAGCACATGGGGCCGTAGCAAAGGAGCTCCTGCGTCTATAGACAGTTTGGACGATGCAGAAGCTTATGCATTAGATTAAACAGTGTCTTCTAATATAATCTGCGAATGTTCGCATGTCGGCTAGCTCACAACCTACAGCTATAACCTCCAGTCGAGTTACTTCCAAGGCCGTGGAGCATTTCATGCTTCCTCAGCTTGTGTTGTTACAGGTTGGAATCATCCACTGTGTGGGAGCTGGCTCCATGGATCCTGTCACAGTTTAGGCTCTCTGTTGGATTCTGGGATGGTTATCATGCTGAGCTTGTTATCCTAGATGGTGTTTTCTCTTGTAATGTTAAAAGTGGAAACATACAGTTTGAAAATAAGTTGGAAGCTGCCAGTACAACCTTCATACCTACAATACTACGATGCAAGACGAGATCCATGAAGGTCTTTATTTCCATGTCTTCTATAAAACCTGTTTGACTTGTTTTACCTGGGAGCTTTGAGCTTTAGCCTCAGGCGTTCCACATCATATCTTGTACGTCGCCATCAAGACCCCCCATTATTTGGTTTGTAAAGCACAGACAGGAGTTTGATGACACCGGACCTGGGTCAAATAAACTGCATTTCCTTCATGGCTTTTGTTTTGAAAAGGTTTGAAACGGCGAATGGGTGGGGTTCACTGCACAAGGACCAATTCAGATACTGTCTGATAACTTGTACACAGAGAGAAAAGTTAGATATGTTGATTTGTAAATACTTTATTGTGATTTGTTTTTTTCTGGCAGTCGAGGTCCTATGTAGCCAATCGCACCCATCAATGGTCACGCTCGTTTTGTTCAGTAGAACATTCCACCTTTCTTTAAAGGAAACCTTTCTGGGAAGGTTTGCCATCTTTGCCAGAGTCAGAGGCCAAGACGGATATCGGTCTCATCTCTGTGCGTCCACTATGTGTTAGCCTAGCTTAGCACAAAGACTCGAGAGCGCCATCGAAAGTGAAAACAGGTGCTTTTAAAGATGTATGTCTTCAGTAGGAACCAATGGGCTCGGAGCTGAGAACCACAGACAGGAAGTCAGAAAGTATTAAGAAACAAACGTGTTGTTGGTTTCTGTCTTCTTCTGACGTCAGTCTTATTGTTTAATTAGACGAAGTGCAGCATGGCAATAAAACGTTGTTTTTGTCACTTTTCATGGAGCTAGAGTGTTCCAGTCTTTGAGCTGAAGGCTTTAAGGAAACTGCATTTTCTTCTCCTCCAAAACAAGCCATGAACATGCAGGTGCCGTTTGGCCCATGTCTGGAAGACACCACACATAAAACGAATGTACTCGTGAGTTAATGTTTAGCTCTCGCTGAAGAGATGCCGTGTTTTAAGACCTTTTTGTCTCGCCGTCCGGGCTTAAACTCGCTCTCATTCACACAGAAACGGGTGGAGATTCTCCGATCACAAATGAATGACGTCGTATCAACGCTTTCATCCAAAGTGACTTACAGTGCCGTGAATGCATAACAGTTATCTGCAGTAAACGAAACTCTCTGTCTTTAAATTGAATCATTCCTCTCCCGGCATCATTCCGTACGATCTGTTTACACCTTATTTTTGCACTCATCCAATAGAGAAGAATGTAAATGTAAAAGACGGTATTCGGTGTAAAATGTATCTTTGCTGTCGTTGGTTTAGGTTTTGTTGACGGTGTTAATAGATATTTTGTATACAAAGCTATAATGTGTCGTCAGGTGGAAGTAGTAGTCCTACAGTACTTTAACTTGGTAGAACATAATCACAAACATAAATCACGTTTTGGGTTTTTTCCTCATGATGTAGGGTTCCTCTGCTGAGAAATGATTTTTATTGAAATCGTCTTGTTTCAAGTTCATTTCTAATTTGCATAATTTTTAAGTCTTAAATCTTGTGATTTATTTCAAATTTATTGGAAGTTGCCAATTTTTTAAGCCAAATGATGTACTGTATTCTTTCCCACCAGTTTATCAAAACCAAGTTAGATTGATGTATAACAGTTTCAGTAATACGTGATACCATATCTTCAATATTACTGTTTAACGGTCTTAAAAACCCCTTACTCGTCATGAACACTGAGGGTAAACTTGGGTTTTGTCAGGTTTACACTCGCTGCTTCTTGCCACATACAAACCTGATCTCAGCTAAGCTCAAGTGTTACTGCTGCTGTCAGTTAAAAAACCTGCTCTTAGTATTTACAATCTCCACACAGAGAGGATGCATCGCTCTGTGTAGTGACATCTTTCATCCATCCGATCTGCTGTTACTGTTCCCCGTCTGCAGACTTCAGTCACGTAAAAGGCCGATTAGAAACCCAGAGTTACCTGCGTGAGCGCATGTACTCTCCTCTGATTTAGCGTTTCTGTTAACATGACCTGATCTTAGTCTGAGCTTTTTAGTCTGGTTAAACCTCGAATAGTCACTGAAACTGGAGTTTGGGTTTTTTTTATGCAAACAGCAGCATAACTCTGAAAGATGTGTGTGTGTGTGGAGGAGTGTGTGTGCAGTGCTTCATGTTTGTACTGATTCCTGCTGTGACAATAAAAAGGTGGTGGAAGATGCATGAGGCAGTCTACTACTACAACAACTACTACTACTACTACTACTACTACTACATATGTAGCTATTGTGTTACTGTGAAAGCATGCTTCATATGTAGCAAGTACTTATACTGTTATCATGTACTACTATGTGTACTTTTGTAGCAGAGCGAGGTCTATTTTAATGGTACAGTATTTGACGGACAGTTGCACTAAACCAACCAAGAGCACTTCGCTTGGAGCTGTTGGATTTCATATGAAGGGTGTTAAACCGGACAATCAGCAGGGTTCATGCACAGGTTCGGAAAAGTCTGGAAGATACATGTTACTGCTTCTGTGTGTTGAAATGTTTTCAGGGGGAAATGTGCTCTGAGAGAGAGAGAGAGAGAGAGAGAGAGAGAGAGAGAGGCTTGAGAAGTGGTTGAAAACATCAACCGAACAAGTACTATAACTGCAGTAAATGTTAGTTTGATTATGACACTACTACCTTTCTTGTCGGTAGAGATTAAAGTTATTTTTATGTTGTGTAAAAACTGTTTCCGCGCCAAGTTTGATATCCTTTAGTTCATCATGTTTGTCCGTAGGGATTTCCTTTGCAGAAGTGATCTCTAGTTTTGTGCCTTCACTGGAAAACTCTGTCGTCTGTATAACACTGTGCAAAAATGCAATACTGTGAAGAACTGGAATACTTTTTATGTTGAAATTCGTCAGTCTGTGTGGTAACCATCGAAGATTAAAGAACAATGACACCAAGAGTTTTACCGTATTGTGTTTTGATTCAAGTGTTGTGGATTTTAATGCAAAGTTATCACTAAAGATAAAACTAATCTTTATTTACATGATTTTTTTTTTGAAGCTCGAGGGATTGTAATGTCTGGTACTACGGATCCTAATGACTGAAGACAAAACGATTTAGTTTAGTTTATTTGTGTTTTGTTGTATCTGACTTTGTAGTCTGTAAATTGTTGAATAAAACTGGATTAGAATTATAGAGGCACTTTAATTTTGACATCTTATTTACACAAACTGCTGTTGTAAATGTGTGCAGATTTAAATAAGAGCGGGTCTAGTTTGAGTGTTGCGTGCACATTAATGCGACCTGTAACAAGCCAGAATATTTGGTGTTTTGCATCGCTGTGATTCAATAATGATCGAGGGTCACTTAAGCTTTTGTGGACTGGAAAACAAACTCAATATCCAAGTTCCAACAGTATTTCCTCCTGTCATGCAACACTGGGGATATTGACTAAATGAAAGTTTGAATCATTTAATGTAGATAATACACTTAATACCTGAATTATACTCATTACACACTTTTTAACAGTTACTCTTTGTTGTTTTTAAATTGAATCTTAAAATACTGAAATACTATTTACTGTGACGATGCAGACACTGTGTTGCAGTACTCGCAAGTGGCCGCTTGATGTCACTCTCCTGCTAGAGGAAGGCAGTGACTTGTTGCTCTCCTCACTGAGTGGGTTGCATCAGGGTTGCACTTGTCCTCAGAATGCCCTCTATGGACTCATACATTCTAATGCTACACATTATACTTTAAGTAACTGATCATTTTCTGTATTTCTTCTGTTGTCAATACTTGATATCACGTTGATTACTGGCTCTGAGGAGGGCGATGTTGGGCTGTTGCTGGTCAGCTGGTGCACCGCTTTGGTCCAAACATTCACAACCACTAAACGCCATTATTGTTCGGCGTTGAGATGAGAAAGGAGCCAGGGTTTGAACTGCTCTCAGCTCTTTTCTCTGCAACCTTTCACGTGAACAACCGAGTACAACACGATCACCTAGAAGTCTCAAAATGTGCACCGTTATCCCCGTTTAGAAAAGAGGAATGTGTCTTATTGGAAGTGGAGTCGTTCATTTAGCGAATGCAAAGCAGAGAAACTTTAGAAGTTGTGTTTCTAGTGACACAAGAATGTTGTTTCTGTGAGTCAAAGGTAGTCATGTGGCATGTAACAGCGTGAGAGCGTACACACAAATACAGAAACCCACATGATGATGATGAAGACAACAATGTCTCTACTGGCTATATTTACCATCAGCTAATAATATGAAACACACACACGTATGTTTGATTCACATGATTGTGAAATACTAATAAATGATAACAAACTGAAATATTTGTGACATTCCTGCTTACAAATATATATATTTTGATTTATTGCAGTTACATTTGGAAATATGTTTTGACAATATATGGACTGAAATGGTAACACACTTAAGAAGAATGCCTTATAATAAGATCAATAAGAGTGTAAAAATGTGGTGTTTTTCACTTGTTAGAATTAGAGCCAGATTTCATC